ATTTTCACCACAGTTATGCAAAAGATCATGACATAATTGAGAATTCAGAGCGTTCTAGTAACATCTTATATTGATGACTCTGCACTAGCAAATTTTTGTCTACCTTCCCTTATTTGGCAAAACTTCAACTATGTCGCTCTCTTGCGCAACCTTGGTTTCTAATTAAGTATCAAGAAGTGTTACTTCTTACCCTCACAAAACGTTGAATTGCTTCGCGTCATAATTGATATTCATAGCAAAAAAATAAAAGTCCCTGAAGACAAAGTTACAAAAATCATCATACTTATCTCACAAATCTCCTCTTTTCTAATTACTAGTAGATCCTTAGCAAAAATTGATTGCAAACTTGCTTCCTTTTCTAAAACTTTCCTCTTTGCACCGCTCTTTCTCTCCTTTTTTATAACTCTATCTCACCGGATAACTGAGATTCTCATGTCTCAATCTCCCAATAACTTTTTACAAAACTTTATTGGAGGTTATACCACTTGCCTCACCTCCCGATTCGTCTATGAACCATAAGGCAAACTTCGTTTTTTGTAGCCACCGATGCATCTTCCACTCAAATTGTTGTCATCTTTCAAACACTTAATGATAAGGAAACCATCTTCAATAAATATTTTCCTCTCTTTTTTATTCTTCCTCCACACGTAAAAAAATTTTTGCGGTTCTTCAAACCCTTTCCTTCCTCTTTAAAAATCACAAATCTTTTAATTTTGACTAATGTTTTCGTAAACACTAAAAAAAAAATAAAAAAAAATTTGCTATCTCTACAGCAATTACACTTCATATAGATAGCCAACCAATTTTTTTCCTCATCCAAAGAATGCATTCCTCTTATCCACTCTTCAATCATTGACTTAGGTCAATTGCCTCGCTTCTTCTTTCCTGCGACATTTTTCTAAACCCAATCTAAATTACTCGTGCTCTTAATCAGCACGCAAATGACATATCCAAAATAAAAGATAATTCTGACTGGAGTCACTCGCGGTTAACGACCACCTGAAATTTAAGAATAAAAGATTCTAAAGTGGTATGAAATTGCTGAAACAACCTAAAGACACTTCATGTTATTTAATAAGTTTCGAGTGGTTTGGAGGATAAGTTTTATGTTTTTTTTTTTTTTTTAAACGTTGCCGTGTGTCACCTGAAATGACTTGAAGTAGTTGAAGCTTCTAAAAGGGGTTTCAAATACCCTCATCCAAATGGTTGGATGAGGGTACCTGAAACCTATTTCAAAAGCTTCAACCACTTCAAGTCATTTCAATAATTTCATGCAGGGATCTGAAACTGCAGTAATGACCTGAAGTGGCAAAAGTCTCTGAACGGGGTTTCAGGTACCCCCATCCAACCATTTGGATTAGGGGACTTGAAACCCCTTTCAGAGGCTTAAGCCACTTAGGTCATTTCAGGAATTTCAAGTGGGGACCTGAAACCGCCGTAATGACATGAAGTAGTTAAAGCTTCTGAAAGGGGTTTCAGGCACCCCCATCCAAATAGCTTCTGAAATGGGTTTCAGGTACCCCCATCCAAATGGTTGGATGGGGGTGCCTGAAACCCCTTTCAGAAGCTTCAGCCACTTTAAGTCATTTCAGGAGTTTCATGTGGGGACCTGAAACGACAATAATGACCTGAAGTGGTTGAAACCCCTGTCAGAAGCTTTAGTGACTTCAGGTCATTTCAGAAGTTTCAGGTAGGGATCTGAAGCGACTGAAAGTGACCTGTAAATAGTGTTTGTTGTTAACCATCTCTCGCTTGGGTATCACTCCTCATACCCTATCAGAAGTTTTTGGTATCACTGAAGTCCTAACAATAGACCTTTTTGAATCTGATTATCATCATATATGTCATCTCTTTATTTTAAGGACATGGTCGCAACATGCTTACAATATTGAAGCGTTTTCCTTATACTAGAATCTCCTGCACGCCACCCCGTATAGATTGACTTTCCCCCCCTGCATCTTTATTTAATGCAATTATATCCATAGTGCAATTATGTTCGCCCGTTTACCTTTTCATTGCACATGATTCCTCCAAACCAACTTGGTTTCCAAAACCGACTCATTTGAATATTATTTTGTCTTACAAGATCCCTCAATCCCCCTTGTCCTGCATCACTAGTCCAGGAGTGCATCCCACCTTCCCTAATCCAACATTTTTTTACCTGAAAGCCCTTCTCTTCAAATCAGGATGAAGTATTGCCTCTTTTCCACCCTCGTTTCATTCCATACCCATATCGCATGAACGTTTCAGCACTGCTCCACGTACCATGTTGCATCATCTTCCCTAAACTCCACCCTTTTATCAATCGTCGCTTGTACTCCCCCAATTCGAAAACTATGTTTGGTTTTCCCTTCATATACTGCCGCTTCCCCAAACCATTTCTCTATACGCGTGCTAAGATTGCTTCCTCCCAAAGCCCCACCTCCGTGCTGTCCTAGAAACATGAACCCACTCCTGATATCTTGACCTATCCTCTCTTAAGCTACCACTAATTCACTAAGTATTCCTAAAAATGTTTCCTCTCCTTTCACGGAATCTCGTAACCTAATTAAAAATCTACCTCCTTGTCTATCTGTCTTCGTATACCTTGGTCTTATGGTTATTTCTCCAATATCAATCTCTGAATACTGTAATCGTATTATTTTTTCGCATCGTTGTCAACTTTCCCACAAATGCAAAAATACTGCAGCATCTCTATATGCCTCTGCTTCGAGAACCCCTTTAAGTATTCGAATTTTGCTCCGAATATAACTTACTATTATGCTTAATTTCTTCCACCGTAACGGATGCGCAAAGTCTTCTATCACCCTCGTTGTAATGCATATGCTCGATATGTTTTTCGAAATGCTTTTACACGACTACCTTGGCATGAATCATCACTTTCCTTTCCCAGTAATAAAAAATTATTACTCAGTCAATTAATAGCTGCATTAAAAGGTTGAAGGAGATATCATTAAAGCACCATCACCATTTGAAGTCCGACATCGTCCTTCCACTTCAACCAACCATTAACTACTGATAAATGATAAGATGTCCAAGTCACAGCAAGACATGTAACTCCGACCCACGTTATTCCGTTCAAGCCACTTGTTAAAGTACAACATAAGTTTTCTCATTCCATTTCACCATCGCCGACCAGCCCCATACTCCTCAATAATAGTGTTGCACCACTCCAACCCACTCTTATAATCTCTTTCATATTCTGTCGTTGTCCGCTTCTGTCACTTGTTTCCATCGCTCATTTGCTCATTCCACCATTCCCTGCAAGACAACTTTATCATTTGCAGGACGATGGGGGATAGGGGATGGTCTAGGAGGTGTGTGGGTCTGCGGCCCCACCTTAAAAACTCGCTTCTAGTGAATCTGACATTATCCGCAATAATACATTTTTTCCTTTTATCTGACAGAGACCTGTACAACATTGGTCCTACGACAACTCTCGTGGTTGGTTTCATTTTTTTCAAGGTGAATATTAGTCTGGCTGACAGTTATCGGATCACGTTGGTTGACGAAGCAGTTTCAGGCGGTTGGACTACCAACCAATGCTTCATAACCCTAAATCTTGGATATCTACAACAAGGACAAATTTCCAAACTGCTCGCATCTCATTCGTCAACAGGATCGGTGGGCCACAGGAAAGGAACTCTCATCTACAGTGAAGCAAGAGTACCAAGAGCCAAGGACTACGGCGGACTAAGGACACCAAGGAATAGGGTTCAAGAACTCACCCTAGGTGCATCTGCACATCGCTGGTCTTTCCCTAACCGCTCCCATTGCCTGTGACAGTATAAGTCACGAGCACATCACCAGAAGATGCAGGCTGCTGAACTTGCTGTATCTCCCGTGTGCCCCCTTCAAGTACGCGTTCGCCGGTAGCGCCAATTGTGTACGCAAATCTGCAGTTCAGCCACACATTTGAGTCGGTCAGCTGGTTTGAGGAGAAAGCCGTTCTTCTTCGCCGATTTTGGCGAAGCGGGCCCACCCGCTCTTGATTTTCTCGCGGTGTGTGGATCTGCAGTCCCTTACTGAATCTGGCATCATCAGCGCCCAGGCATTTTTTTCTTCTATCTGGCAGAGACCTGGACCGTGATTAGCGAATCTCAATGGCGTAATGGAACGGTGTCGCCCTTGAGATTTTTTCAAGTTGAGGGTTGTGGACGAGGCCCTAAGGGGCTCGTTCCACACCATTTGAAACTCAAAGGTTTCTTGCCCAACACCGTTCCACTGTGCCCTTGACTTTCACTGATGATGACCCGATGGTGATTAGATTTTCGGGCTTAGCAAATGGGCGGGAAAAGCTCACGGGCAGCTCAAGTGCGGCCCAGGCAAACCTACCCATTTTTCAAGTCACCTCTCCAGGCACACTTGAGCTGCACTTGAAATTGGCGCTGCAGGTACGTGTAGAACCCTCCTATAGTTTTTTTTTGTGAAATTTTTGATATGACCCTCAAAGTTCGATTTATTTGCAGCGCGCCCCTCTAACGGCCGACTTACCCTGCAGCGCCCCTATGACAGAGATTGAAGTTTCTGAAAAACCCTGGTGTCGTTTGGGCCTGAAAATGTTCAATATACGCCTATTGGTACCGGTTCCAAATTTCTCGTATGCCCCGGTAGCTCCCCTCCCTGAGCCAGGGGAACGATCACGTGTGCCACCAACGGCCACAGGGGCACGCTGGAATTTGCTACCCTCAAAGAGAGGGGCCTGCAGGGTACGTCGGCCGTCGGAGAGGCATGGTGCAAATTTATTGAACTTCAGGGGCATATCTAAATTTTTCCTTCTTTTTCCCGTTTATTCTCCTTTTTCTCACGTCATTGTCCTGGACAAACCCCTCGCGAGCTGTTCCCGCTCATTTCAAGGGGTGACTCAGGTATTTTGCAAAGGTCACTTTTGCAACTCGAGTGCGCACTCGAGTTTCAAGTGAAGTGGTGTGGAACGAGGCCCTAAGAAACTGGGGGGCACTTTTGCGGTAGCGGCACGAAGAACGCGGCAGAGGGAAACGATAGAGATGGCGGGAGAGGTTAAATGGTACCAGCACCCCGCCGAATTCGAAGAATCCTGTGGTGTTCGTTGATGTGAAATTTGGCGGGCTAAAGATAAAGATGGCGCCGTTTGATGACGTAGTTCCCAAGACGGCTGAAAACTTCAGGTGCATACTCGTCGCAGGCTTCTCCGCCCCGCTCCGCCCCCCCTCCGCCCCCCCTCCGCCCTGCAACTTCCATTGGTTTTTCTTTTTTGCGCCTCCCGCGTCGTAGGTCCGTCTTGATCTTCCTATTTTTTTGCTCTCA